AGGGGCTCCTTATTTTCAATCCGCACTTTTGAAACAGGGCTGAAACAGAGGGGATTATGGGTAATGCTGCAATGATCTGTTTGGTGTTTCAGCCAATCAGAGACCGGTTCTGTATATATCTGAGACCTATAAGATATTGATGAAAAACAGTATAATAGGGGACCTTTAAAGTAAATAATCCTGCTTTGAGAATGCATAATGGATCACCAGCAGTCCTCATGAATTAACAGATTTTTTTTGTTCTTTCATTCTGCAGTCAACCGAAGAGACAGACAGACGGAGCGAGTGTGAAGCTCCCCGGGAGACTGACAAGCGGAGGTAGACGGGCCGAGCTACATCCTGCTGTTTTCCTGGAGATCTAGGACACTTCTCCGCCAGCTCAGTTTTTACAACCGACGAGACGAAAACAAGACATTTGTGCTTTTTCAAGACTGGCCTGACACACTTAGATACTTGGAGGAGTCTGGACACTGAAGTGGATAAATGACGGTTACTAATGCACAGCTCCAGATGTTCTTTATCATTTTGGCTAATTTGGACACTTGAGCCCCCTCCTACACTGAACTTACAATAAACAGACTGAGAACTTTACGAGAAGAGTTGTTTTAGTCGCCAGCCCCTCATCCCCCTTGACCTCTAACCTGCTCCTTTTCCTAAGTAACATTTCAAACTGGCTGCCACCATACAAAGATGGAAAATCTGACGTCAGAGGATAACCATAACTGCATCGAGACCTTCAGCAGTTATGAAGAGTCTCTTCCGTCTGCAGAAGGGAGTCCATCTCGCATGGGTCGCAGCGCCAAGTCCAAAAATAACATGAACTGCCGGCGAAAGCGAGAATTCATTTCGGACGAGAAGAAAGACGCCTGCTATTGGGAGAAACGCCGCAAAAACAACGAGGCGGCCAAGCGCTCCCGGGAGAAGCGACGCATCAATGATATGGTCTTGGAGAACCGTGTCCTTGCACTGAATGACGAGAACATGATTCTGAAGACGGAGCTGCTCCAGCTGAAGCTGCGTTTCGGCCTCATAAGCACGGCCTCCTACATTGAAAAGAGTCAGCAGCTTGGAGCGAGCAACAGCGCGGCGAATGCAGAGATTTTAACGTCCTCCTCCTCCTCTTCTGCCCAGTACTACTCCAGCGGTTACTCTAGCGGCTCTCAGGTGATGATGAACTCTGACTCCTCAGAAACAGAGCAGTCCGGCCACAGGCAGCTGGTGAAATACTCTCCACGCGGCTCCCTCTCCGATATGTCCGACGGATCCTCCAGGGACAGCCCCGAGCCAATTCCCTTTGAGATCAAACAAGAGGTGGACAGGATAGAGATGGACATTACCAATGGCACCACCCCCCAGATCATGTTGGACATCCACCGAGGTCTGGCTGCTGTGCCGACCCACCACCAGATACATTCTCAGGAGCTGGAGGCGGTATATCAGAGCCAGCAACAACAGCACCACCAACAACAACAACAACAACAACCCCATCAGGAGCCTGTTATGAACACCGTCAGCCAGCCCAACCCTCACCCACCAGCCGCCCAGAGGAGCGTCATTCTGTACGGCTCCAGCAGCGCCTCCTATCCCGTGGAAAGGCACCAGGACATCGATATGCAGGCGGCACACAAACAAAACCAGATGAGTGTTGGACGATTGCCTCAGTGTCTTCCAGAGAACTCCTCCACGGAGACACTGGCGGAGGTGACGAAGCAGCTGGAGATGAAGACGTTAGACTCCCCTCGGTATGACCTTGCTGACGAGGCTGGAGAGAGACATGCGTACAGAGACTACCAACTCCCCCCGCAGCACCATCAGGAGAGAGATTCATCAGCAGACCAGTCCCACCTGTACCACCATCTCCAGCAGCAACAGCATTCATACCTCAGTGCCCAAGGCGAGGAGCCGCCAATGCTCACCTACGAAAGAACGGAGTCTTACGACAGAGTCCAACCGAGCAAGGACACGTCGTCCAGTGATATAGATCCTGACAAAGACGCCTCTACGGACGATGAGGAGACCCCCATCTCATCTTTATCAGATATGGGCAACTACCAACAGCTTACCAGTCTGCACCATCCTGCCTCGCCTTCTCCCCCCTCCCAGGGAAGCCCTCAGATCCAGGGTCGAGAACCTGTGGGCGAGGTGAAAGGAACCGCTTTGCCCCACAAACTGAGACTCAAACACCGGGCCATGAGTACCGGGAGCAGTGGGGCTTCGGGCCAGGAATCCCCGACGACCCCTTCTTCTGCGACGCCGCCTCCCCTGCCCCAACATCCATACTTGTCCCTCTTGCCTCAGCAGAACACTAAGAGAGAAAGCCCGGTTGGAGGCTTAAAACAGGCGGAGGCGGGCAAAAAAAAGGAGACAGGTGGACGACGAAACAAGAGGCGAGATTAGGCGATCACCGCTTCTCGAAAAGACATAATTCTGCTTCTAAGAACGACCCTGCCATCATGCCTTTGCCCTCAAATCAAACCCCCTCCCTGAAGCCCTTGGGACAGGAAGCTGGGTTTTTCTACTCCCCTCTCCCTTCCTAAAAGGCTGGACATCTTGTAGGGCTGTATCGTGTTTGTATATATTGTACAGATTTGTCATTTCTTAAATCCTCTCCATATTTACAGAAGCACTTTTTTTTATGTGAAGAGAGGAGGAATGGAACTACCTGCTTTTCGTCAACATTAAGATCTCGTACAAACAAGAATGTTGGAAAAAGAAAAGTTTTGAGCTTTATTAGTACTATAAATTTGGTACTTATCTGACTGTAGACAAACATACACATGTATGGCTATCTGCCTTAATTTAAATCTAATGCAAACGTACGCTTGGGGACATTCCCTTGACCAAAGATCCACCAACACTACAAATATCAAGTTCCATACCTCTTCCCGACCCTACCTCTACCAACCCATACTCTACCCGACCATCTCCATTGTTTCACACGAAGATCGACATCACCTTTATTTTTTAAGCACTTGTTTTGTATATTACTGTGACATATGAATATATGTATCTATTATAAATATATATTTTGCAAAGAAATTTGAATACAAATTCAACAAAAATGGGACAAACCTGAGATGGTTAGTGAGGGTTTTGAAAGTGACCATCCTAAAATGAATCACAATGACTGTACAGCCGTGTTGTCCGCTGCTGCTGCAGGACCCATTCGATTAAAACGCTCTCTTTGGATTTAGTTCAGGGGTGTCAAACTCAATTTCATCGCGGGCCACATTCGCATAAAGCTTGCACTCAAAGTGCCGGTTGTAACTATATAAATATATAATATATATATAAAATAATGTATTATATTACATTATTGCCTCTGAATTGGATTATTATCGGATAGGATAATAACTTAGTAATTAACTACGTCTGAGAGCAGAAGACCAGGGCAAATAATTGCAAGTCTCTTCGGTGCACATGTCACAAAACAAGATGCATTTTGGGACATGTAGTTTATGGGCAACCTGCTTCTGTAAAGTGGCAAGTAACCGTATAATAAACGTATTATATTCTTTAAAGCTCTTATGGGGCCACATGAAATCAAGTCGCGGGCCGGATTTGGCTCCCGGGCCTTGAGTTTGAGACCCCTGATTTAGTTAATGCCCTGTTTACACAGAAATGGCCGTCCAGTTTGGAGTGCCAACAGCACTGAATGGAGAACAAGTTGTTTCCTGAGGCGAGGTGCCTCGTTAAAATGTTTGGATTTCATAACCTTTAACCAGCCTTTAAATATTTGGTGGACTTCACCAGCTGCAGGCTATGAGCCTTTATTTTATTTTAGTTTATGAACCATATCTTGTTGTTGTTGTTGTTGTTGTTGTTACCATTCACTGGCCCAATGTATTTATTTCCCTGCTCTCCACACGCCCATCACTGTAGAAAAGCCCACAGGATGAAGCCTTTGAACAGTAACGGAGGTATGGGACGATGAAGAGATGAAGTCATGTTAACACTACAACGCACTGAACACGTTCCTCTTGTGTAGAAGAGTTACTTTGCATCAATTGACATGAAAAGAGGTTTTGTAGTGTGCCCAATCATGACCTTTGAGGTCCTTATTGGCTCCCAGGTGGTTACATTGTTATGAAATAAAAAAAGGGCAGCACAATGAATTTACTTTCTAATGAAATTGCAATTGTAATAGGCTAAATATTAGTTTGAGTCTAAAAATATGTTCAAAATATGTATGTAAGGCTCAATATGTTAAAATAAAATGTTAGCGTTAGTGTTGTTGAGCTACAGAGGGTGTTTCTCAATGTCGAGTATGCTTGCTTGGTAGCACATGTCTTCCGAGTCACTTGCTTCAGAAGCGAGGCAAGATTCCT